TTTTTTTTTTTGGTTTTTCTCCGGTACCGGGAACCGAACTCACGACCTTGCGCTTGCCAGTCAGGCGCTTTTGCCGCTGAGCTAAATCCCCAGCCCCGGATTGGAGAACTCTTGCTCAGCCAGGTGAAGGAGAGGGTTAAACCTACCGAGGATATTTGCTGCTGCTTCCTAGAGTGCCATGAGCATGTGGACCTTTCCTTTTCTGGAGCTGGGCCTCTAAGTCCTCAGTGTTCTTTGGTCTGGTTGTGTTTGTGAGCTGAGTGCCTTGCATCTAGGAAATGCAGTGCACATCTGCAGCTCTGGAATCTGTGTAGCCAGAGGTGGCTAGGGAATCTGGGCAGGGCAGATCTGCAGGAGAACTGGACATTAGGATTCCCAGGACAACCCCCAACCCCTGGATGTGGGAGACCACCATGCCACTTTCTCTTGAGAAATGAAGCCCTTACCATGCTCTCTCCCTGACCTCTCCTTCACCCTATTCACTGAGATGTGCAGAGCTGGCTGTGTGGAAACAAATATTCCCTTAACTGACTAAAAGAATGTTGTTGAGTCCAGCGTAGGCACCAAGGGTCTCACCAACAGCAAAATGGCAACACGCAGGTGAGAATAACCTCCACGTTGATGGCTGGAATGGAGTCCAGAGCAGAAGCCCGTGATTCCAGGGCTAAGGTATGAGATAACGTCTCAGCTGAGGCCATGCGACTCAGAAAGAATTATTCCTTCCTGGCAGTAGAGGTGCCAGCCTTGCATACATCAAAATTATCTGTGCCTTGCTAATTGGAGGCCTCTGTGCCTGGTAGGGCTACAAAGTTTCTTTTCCCTATGCACTCTGCTGGGACCCCCACCTACTTCCCTGATTGATACCAATAAAAGCATGAGCTTTTAGAGAAGAGGCCTTTTGTTGCACAGAGAACATTGGGCCATCCCAGAGCTCCTCAACTGCAGAATTGTCTGTCTGTCTTTCTTTTGCATCCATGTGCCATATCAGTACCTGGATTGCAAGGTTGTGCAACCCAAGCATCCTTTTTGGTGTGACCAGGGTAGCTGGTCCCCTGGGAAGTGTTGCTGGTCCTGTAGTACTTGTGTAAGTCAGGACTTGGGGAGCAACCCCTTCTGAACAACGTAGTGGCAGGCGGTTGGAGGTGAGCCTTCTTCATCTCCACAGGGGAGCCCAGGGGAAGGCTGTGTTCTGGCAGAGGGACCAGAGGATTTGCACTGGGACTGTTTAAGCTCTGAGATGTGTAACCCCACTAAAGATCTCTAATCACATGAGATAACTATCTTTACTGTTGAGCCTAGTGGTGCCACCCAGGGCAAAAGTGAAGGACCTGGAGATCTATCTACTGAGTTCAGGGGATGCTTTGTGGCATGTTCTGGCAGGGGCACAGTCCCCATATTTGTCATCTGTCCTTTCCCCCACAAGTTCCCATTTGTGCCTGGGTGTTAGGGACTGAACATGCCTCTTGCTTTGCCCTTGAGAAAGAATGCTCACACAAATGTCTGTCTTCCTTTTTTCTTTCTTTCTGAAGCAGGATCATGCTTTATAGTACAGGCTGGCCTTGAACTCAATATGTAGCCCAAGTTGCCCTCAAACTTATGGCTATCCTCCTGTCTCAGCCTCCTGAGTACCGCGAATACAGGCATGCACCAACTTGCCTGGCTAAATTGACTTTTTCAGTGTTTAAATATTGACTCATTTATATAATCTTTACAGCATCCTGTGGAGTAAGGACTATGTTATCTCCATTTGACAGAAACTTGAAGCACAGAGACTTGATGGAGATAGGGCTGAGGCTCAAACCTAAGCAATCTGAACCCAGAGTTCACGATCTTAAGTATTCTATAAGATCCAGGAATGAAGCACAAGAGGCCTCTGGGTGTTTAAAACACGGTTCTCCAAGTACAGGCTCCCAAGTTCACGTACTCAACTCTCCAAGAACGGCCTCATTCCCATCTAACACTTTGGATCATGAAATAGACAAATAGCTTAATGAATCTGATGTCTAAGTCAGCGGTTTTCTAAGCCAGTAGCAAATTAGGAGAAAATATTCTTCAAAAGAGATCTTTCCCTTCCCATCCCCCAACTTGTTTTTCTCCCTTCCTGAACAAGTAGATCAAGGCCTCTAAGAGCAGACAGAGCAAGACAGGCGTCTGCTATGAGAAGTAAGACACAGTGGAGCAAAGCGGAGCTTCCAAGCCCTGGCGGG